GTGATCTCTGCTTTCAGATAAACCTTCACCTCTGAGAAGTGTCTTCACCTTCATTTGTTTATAGCTAATTCATGTGTTTAGTCCAGTGCTTCTCAAAGTGTGTTCCGCGGACCACTGGTGGTCCGTGAGCGCCCCCTAGTGGTTCGTGAGTATATTGGTAACATTTCACATTTGAAATAAATTAATTTAAGTTTTCCGCACTCTCACGGGAATATCTCCGCAATGGAGCGAGCTTAAGTTTCACTTTCAATTGCCTGATATAGCCCAGTGCAACACCTTCATCACACATTTTACCACTTGTTTGTACCATTTTCAGGCGATTTGTGATCTGTTCTAGAAAAACGATGTGATTTTGGATATCTGTGGAGTTAGGTGGTCCGTGAGTGTTTTTTTATTGGTTAAGTGGTCCTTGGTATGAAAAAGTTTGAGAAACACTGGTTTAGTCCACATACTCACGTTATTACCAAAAACTATATTTTTATTTTACTATACAGTATTTGTGTACTTTCTGTTCATCTTATTCTCTTTTACCTATTTACTTATTCCTGTTGTTTACTTCATCATTGTGTTTCTTGCAATATTTTCGTGTTTTCTTCTTTAATGTTTAAGGTATATTGCATGTTGAACCGTTGACAACCAGTCCTCCAGATGTGTATTGCCAACAATTACACTGTAGCTATTGTGTAAATGACAATAAAACCATTACATCTTGAATATTTATAGTTTTAACAGTTTTCCTCCCAGCATTTCCTTCCTTGTTTCCACTGACAGTACTATGATATTTCTCAGTTGTGCTTACGGTTGGCTTGGCTTGTCCTCATCCTCCTCCTCATCATGAAGGAGGTTGTGAACTAGGTGCAGCACAGTGGCAACATCCTGACCCCTGCACAGGAGACCCAAAGAAACAAGTTATAAGCTTCTGTAACTTTCTCAAAACAAAACAGTTCCATGCTTTATCCTCACTTTGTATAAAATGTGCATTGATTGTGTCCCCTCTTATTCAATGTACCCATTCAAATGAGCAGATAAGCTCAGTAAGCTTTACACTGCCAAGAGAGCTTCCGATTCTCAGATCTACTGTTAGTTAGTTCGTTTTATTAGATTTAATGTACTGTTTAACAGTTTTAAAATGTCACAGATTACTGACAAACCCTCACCAGTTCATAGCGTTGCAGCCAGCAGTCTACTCTCACTAAATGTGATACATCCTTTAAATCAGTGATTTTCAACTACTGTGCTGTGAGAGATCGCCAGGTTGATTGTTCCAAACATTTTGGGGCTGTTGGAGTGCCGCAGGATTTTTTGAAATGTAAAACATTTACTGTGGCTCAAAAGACGTTGAGAAACACTGCTTTAAAGGCCACATGTCATGCTTTTCCGGTTATTACCAGTCCCCTTGTGTGTTATGAAGGCTTTTCTGCATGTAAACGGTGTGCAGAGTCAAAACCCTCAAAGTACACCCTGTAGCGAGTAAAACTCTAAAACAGAAAATACCTCCCCAAAACGCCTCGTTGGTGAAACGTCATCATGACGTCATCGTCATTTGATTCTTCCGGGTACGTGCTTTCGTAAGCACGTCCCCGGAACTAAATGGGCCAATCCGTGGAGCCGTTACGTTACGTCCGCGGAGCCGTTATGTTAAGCCCCCGCTGATTGGTCCAAATTGACCAATCCACACACACACTCAGTGCAGGCAGCCCTGCTGATTTCTGCTCCCTGCTGCAGGCTGATAACAGACAGTTGGGATCGCGCGAAATTCTCTCTGCATACCCATTCTCACAGCGTTTATCAAACTATAAACCTTTTTCTTACTTAATATCAAGCCACACTTATTGTTGGGGCTGCAGCGAGCCGTGTAGTGGAGAAAGTGAATACTGCTGAATACACATTTGCACAGTATTTTTCTATTTTAGTATACCTCAACATTGGAATTATGATCAGTGGAAATGGCCAT